TCTTATATTATTCAAATTACAATAACCTTCTCTATTACTTTTATTAAGAGCCCAGACAAGGTTATTATAATTTTTTTATTACAATCACCAAATCTCATCTGATTGGCCTTTATAATGAGTCACTTTGACCGATCAAAATAGAATTTCTTTAAATACAATATTATAATAAAAATTTAATTTATTAAATTACTGTATATAGGGTATTGACCCAGTTATAACCCAGGTCAATGAGTCAAACAGAATTTATAAAGTTTTTGAAGTTAATCCTTAAAAATTGATATAACGACTTTTAATTAGAACTGTTAATAAGAAAGCAGCCTATACTTCAAATATCTAAACTAGAATTTTTCAGATTTTGTATTGAAAAATTTTTTAATCTTATATTTGGTTAGTTAGTGTGATTGCAAATTTTTTTTGTTATTGTTTTTGAATTATAAACTTACCTAATACTAGATTGTAATAATTAGACGAGAATATGAGACTAACTTGATTCAGTGGTTTACATTACATTCCTTCTTCAAAAGAGAAGGGAATGGAATGTATACATAGTAAATTTTATTAAAATTTTTTTTAATTAGAAATTTTTGTCCTGATCTTACTCGTCTTTTATGTTTGTTCATTCCCTCTTTGGAATTTTTCGAATCCTTACAATTTCTAATTTTAATTCCACTCAGCATTAGCTATTAGCTCTCCAGCCAAAATATCCCAACAATTTTTTTTACTAAGAGGGAGGGAGGAGGTCAAAAAGGGATAATGTAAACCACCAAATCAAATTGGTCTGACTTTAATTGCTACTTGTTTACTTACTAAAATGATAAGCTTATCTACTATTAAAATTATAAATTTATTTCTATTGAAATTATTAACTTACGCTTTGTTTAAATTATAACCACCTACTGTTAAAATCACAAACTGAAATTGTAAACCTATTACTATTAAAATAATATACTCAAACTATTGAATGATGAATCCATACATTATTAAAATATCTACTATTAAATTGTGAACTTAATGAACCCACCCACAATTGAAATCACTACTTACCCACTACTAAAATCTTATTTGCTAGTGCTAATCTACCACTATTATATGCAAAAACACTCACTGTTAAAATTTTGTGAAAGTCGAATTTATTCAGAATTGCACTATAAAATCGATCAACAGAAATATTGTAAATTTTAATCAAATTTAGCATATGAAAAGATATATAAACGATTATAATTTACCTTCAATAAAAACAATTCACCTTCTTTTGAAATATCCTCCGCTTTACTAATTCTCTCAATATTATATATTGATAGGAAATAGTGACTAAATCCTGTGTTTCCATATTAAGAGCCCTGCGACGTAATCTAGAGCTCTAAATAATCTAATTACTCAAACCAAATATATTCACACCTCCATCGAAGCTTTTCATATTAGAGTTTATGTTATAGAGATGTTAAGTGTCTGGACAGGACTTTTTAGAGATTAGTTCAAAACTGGTCCAAAACCAGTTTTGATCTCATATAGTATAACATTTTTGGTACATCAACGCTTTTTAATAGCCGTATTGATAGTGAAATTCAGCGTTCCTGCTTTTAGGATTAAGTGGTTCACTTTGTAAGTTTAAATCAAATTATATAGTAGTGTTATATTTGTGTTATCATACTCTGACCTATAATCATTCTGGAAGCCATTTCGCCTTTTTCAATATACTATATATACGTACATGCATTTTTGTATAAAAATCTATAGTTAAAATTTCAAGTTTTATATTATGGATGGGAAATGTAACACTACACTTATAATAATGTCATCAAAACATAATAAAAAATAAGTTCTTGGTCCCACTTTGAATAATTAAATACACATATTGTAATTGAAATTGCTATTGTATAATAAATTTAACAAGCAATGCATTATATAGGTTAAGCCAGATCCGCAGAACCTTATCGTTATCAATTTAGAAAGTGAATCATTTACATTTGCAATTTCTAACTTTCCAGTTTTTTATAATAAAAGTCAGATTTATGCTATTACTAAAAAATAAATATATTAACTAAATAGTCATTCATACTATTGAAATGCAGCATTATATGAACTAATTCTATCAGAGATTTCACTAGAACAAAAGTGTAGATATCCGTGAATTTAATCCAAGAACAACAATATTTGTATAGTTTGTTTGAAAGATTCGGATATTTAAAGTCATACTAGCGAACAAGGGCTAAATCAAATAGATTTCTAAATCTGAAATGCTTATTGAGCAGAGAATTAAAATCTAATAATATAAATAATAAATTGATATCGATGTTGAATTTTGTGATGCAAATAGAATAATTATGATAAATACCTTCGCAAAACATGCACCATTATCAGTGTTGTATTGGTCCATTTCTTCAATATTCATATTAATAGAACATTATCGAATTGTGTACTATTATGATAGTTAGACATTGCACAAACTGTATCTCTATTTGCATTCATGGCTGAATTGTATCAATCAACAAATATTGTTTTGTTCCTTATATTTGTGCTTGTTGAATCTTCATAAAGATTCAAAAATTTATTTAATGCTAGTAGAAAATGGTTTAAAGCATCTAAAACTTCAGAAGCCGGCTGATGTATTTCTTTATATAAATTTACGAACTCTTCAAATTGTGATAATTCAAATTTTGCGTGACTACCAGTTAATAAATATGGTGACGATTTATTATTGTTTGTTGCCGATTTTTTTAATTGATTCAAGTATTTTAAGGATGCTTTGACACCGTATCTAAAATAGTAATGATTATTTATTTTTATTTTATTTTTATATAGTAAAATATAGAAAAATAAATAAACTTACAGTTTTTAGCATCTGATCAACAGGTGTTCTCCTATTACTCGTTCGATAAGGATTCTTTACACATTCTTTATGTAAAGATTCGTATGTTTCAGTGAAAAACCCATTAATTGCACTGTATTCTCTAATCGATGGAATTATGTAACATATCCAATTATATAACTTTGGAAATTGTAAATTAGACGTAGAAAATAATAAAAAGAGCTTGATAAATCCTGTAGCCCATTTTGTTATTAATGACTATAAAATAAGTTCAAATTAGCTTTAGTTATATATAAATTTTTTAAAGTGAATGTAACATACCTTAAATATATGCAATTCTGATTTGCTAAATTCATCTTTTCGTGAGAAAATATACATTTGATTCCAATCAACATATAAGTTTACTAGTTGTTTATCCATGTTTTTAGCCTGATTCATAGTATAAATGTCTTTATAAAACTTAGTAATTATTCTATTGATTACAAAAACTAATTGTTGCATCATTGCCCGAAACTCTGCTGCAGTAAACCGTTTAATTTTGCCCAACCCTTTTTTGAACAATTTAAAACCTGAAAATCGAGAGACTTTTGCTAGTTTGCTATCGAATTCGTTAATTCCAGCTAGACCACACCATTCTTTTAATAGCTCTTGTATAAATACTACTTGATATTTGTATAAGCCTAAATCAAGATGATGTATTCGATCAGGCAGACATGATTGGTAAATATTAAAATTCTTAAGTATTAAAAAAAAAAAATTACGTATGTACCAGTACGTACAAGTTACAAATATTAGATTTAATCTATACATTAGATTAGGAAGTTATACACACTCTATGTGTATATATATATATTAATATATATATAATATAGCAATACATACGGAAGACACCAGAAAGAATTTTTCATATCATATATGGAATATTCTTTGGTTTGACTTTGCTTGATTACCAGTTTCATGGTTGTTAGTGTATGTAAAATAATAGATTTGTAATCGATTAATGGATTATTAAATTCTTCTTTAGGAGTTAAGCAAAAGTGACAAGGCATGTTGCAGTTTACTGAGTTGTATGTCGATATCATAGCCGAATGTTCAGGTAAATCACTCAAAATCTGCGACAAAAATGGATAACACCAAAATAGGCCACCATCCGTATATAATTCAACACCACATGAAGAATTTGATTTGATCGATTCAGTTAGAATCTCTATTGAACAATGGAATAGTTGATATTTAAACAAGGAAATTTTTGGTCTTCAGAACCTTCAGATGTTGGTAAGTATGCTAATAGTGTTTTAGCATCGGGTTTGTTGCGATACCAAATAGGAATATTTCTTAATGTTAAATATACTGGATGCTCAGATCTTTTTCCTAATACATCACATGTTGTAGCATCCGAGTAAAGGATAACCGATATAATTTTTGCACTTTCGTTAATCAATGCTTAAATCTGACCCCACTACCTTCCATTATACTGTTCTCCATAGCAATATTCCAATTCGCCCTTGTTATTGGCAATTAATCTTGGTGTATAGTCAAAAATACAATGTTTGAATATATCAGTATTGCCTAATAGCTCTTTAATTGCATCAAAGAGTGGTCTGTGATGTAATACATATTCAGTGCCATTATACTTGATAACTGTCTTGGTATATAATATGTGTGGAATATTTATCGAATCAAGTAATGTGCGACCTTGCTTCATATTGGTGGGCAGAACTACGTGTAGATCCATTTTGTATTGATTAAACCAACCGATAAGTTCATTACCTACACTATTTGGAAGATTATATTTCATTACTATTTCCATAAACTGTGCATATGCCAGATGTGGAAACGTTGGAGGTCGATATGCAGTAGTTGCATATAAACGTTGTGCAGAGCGCATATCAATTATCGTTATCGAAGAATTTTCCTCACTATTAATTTGCCATAATTTATCCGTCTGTATGTAATTAGACAAATAAAGTTGGATTAACATAAAACAATGCAAATACTTAAAAAAAATAAGTTGAATATTAAAAATCCTTAAAACATGTATAATAAGCCTGTATTACATATAATCATAAAATTAGATACAACCTCAAATGTCTCTGTATCGTTCCAATCTTGTTGAACATGTTTAAGAGTAATTATTTTATTATTTTCGCTAGTTTTACTAGTTCTATTGTTATCTCCATTGGCTTCATTAATATCGTTACAAAAGATGCTGGATAAAGGTGTTTGTTCTCTTACATGCTGAGTATCTGTCAAAACTTCAGTTTCTTTCAAAAGCACTTGAAGTTGGTTTTCTTCCACATAAATTATATCATTGTGTTTTGTTAAATGATTTCGGTAACAATTTCTTCGTGTAAAAGATTGAAGACAATAACGACAAATAATAACACCTTTTTTTTCTCCTTCTGGAACTTCATCCGTCCTGGTTCTTTTTTCTTTTTTCTTAATATCATTAGACATAATAATAGCATAAAAAAAAAATAAATAAATAAATATTAGATCAATTTATATTTATATATTTCTTTGCGGAGTTTGTCAATTACTTTAAATAGACTTCAAATATGTTATAATTTAAGATCAGATACATAATTTATACATTTTATTTG